TCCCATGCCATCGGATGGTGGTGACTCGGTGTAGGGTGTAATAAGCCCGGTTGAAGTAATCTCCGATACTCTTACTTTTGTTTCTTGCAATCTTATCTTTTATTCTCAAACATAGTGCATAGTTGTTTCAATGGAATCAAGTTGTTAAAATCTTGGTTTTATTGTCATGTTGATTTTATTTTAAAATTTATCTTATTGTAATAAAGACCACCTATAAGTTATCTTTCATCAAAAGAGGTGAAGAAAAAAAAAAAAACGTATTCCCGAGTAAAAGATCATATAGGTCTCTTTTTCAAAAACTCCCAAATATTTACTCCACTAAATGCTCTCCCTCACGATCTCTCTTTTTTCTACAAGAAAAGGTTTTAAAATATCATTTTAGAGATTCCTACTGTGGCAAAATTCTCTTAAACAAAAAGAAAAATATTGTGGGGATGATATGTTACCACTTACCTAACTATCTCTACCTTAATAAAAGTAACATCACTGTCTTGCCAATCATATTCAATCATTCTTTTGCTTTAACAACTTGACAACCTAGCCCATGCCACAAGCCTTATGCCAAATAATCTCCATCAACATGCCTAGCTTATCTTCCCTCTTGCTACCCTTCTGATGCAAACTCCACATTCTTTAAACTCCACTTAGGAGTCGTTGTTTTTGCACACTTGCAAGTACAATCAGTGCCTCATCTCATGCCATTGAGATCCTTTGTATAAGACATCCCTATGAAGCCTGGCGCATGATCGAAATCTCGGTAACATTTGCTTATTACTTATTAAATTTTAATTATCCACTCATTTTGTTCATGTTGGGTAAGTGTGGTTATTAAAGGCTTTATGAGTGCTTGTAAATGGAATATGATTTAAGTGAAAGTATGGTCCCTTGTGAACCACACTAAGCAAATGATGTTTACTGATACTGATTTATGTTCAATGTGCTAGGCTAGTATAGCTGTGAAAAACTCATGATTACCTGAGCATAGAAAACTAAGCCGATGAGAGTTATGATGAGCCATCCCTTGATGACGTCGGAGTATGTCCGGATGAGTGAGCCGATGGATTGTGTGACCCTTGTGTGTGATAGAGACATCTATAGATGGGGTCAAAGCCTCATCCATATACCATCACACGACATGCACATTGATAAGTATTTACGGGAAATTAAACCACCTTTCAGGGGGAAGGGTATGCATATGTGAGAGATACTCCTATGCACCATTGAGCCTTAAACTGAAACTGCGACCCCTTGCCCATTAAATGAGTTTGTAGTTAAAAAATCGGGTGTGAGAAAAACAATTTCTAAGAGATACTAATCAACTTATTTTGGTGGAATACCCTTAAAACTTGAACATGGCTTACCGTGGGAGGTATGTTTTCGCATCTTCTTTGTGATCCAAAATGAGGAGATCGTCGACCTCCATGAGAATATGTCTACCAAAGAGCAATTTCCAGATATCCAAAAAGGCGCGACCTTAACATTTTCCCCGACTCTGATATCGTAGGAATCAAGACCCCTTTTGTTGCACTAAGCCCCTCTTTCAACAAATTCAATACCTCAGATCAACTGGCCTATAATGGGCAAATTAATCTAAAAAAACCCAAGTACCCAACAATTACACTTGGTGCAATAAATCTGGGATAAAAAAAAAGAGACTAAAAAAAGCAAAACAGGAAAATAAAAGCCACAAAGCACTATAAATCACAATCAAAGTACCACCATTGCACAATACATATGTTGTCCAATTGGCCTATATCTGTAGGCAACCGACAAGTGTATGATTTTGTTATTATAAAAAGAATTATAAAATCAAGTAAATATATGAGTTACCTCACAATTCATAAAACACTATTGGCGTCCCTTTTCATTATCATAAAATAATCATTGAACCGATCTTTATTAGTGGGATGGTGTTAGTAGTGGGAATGAAAACCATAATGTGGAGACTAAAGTGTGAGGGTGCTACCACCATAACTGCAACCCCATTCCCAACTCTATACCACCATTACCATTATGCGTACGCCAGCATGGAACAACGATAGCTAGAGTTTTACCATAACCCCTAATTTCAACTTTGTCGGACTCTCTATTTCGTTTTGCAAAATTATGTTTTAAATTAACAATTAAAAAATTCACAATACAAAAATATTACCCTACAACATGAAAATAGCATAAGGGTAATTTATATATAGTCGTGGGAGGCAAGGCACACAGGGGATAGG